TCATAGTTGATTTTTTACAAAGATACCAATGTTATTTCATACTTTGTTGACAAAATAATAGTTATTAAAATAAATGATGTTATAACGAATGGATATCCACATCCTTGCTCTTTACCTCATACTTATCTATGAAAATTAAGTGTAAATTGGTCATAGGCTTAAATATGAGAGCTAAAACAATAATACTTCTAGACCAAAGTATAAGAAAAATAATCTTTTTTTTCTTTTTCTTTCCCTTGGAGTAAGGAAAGTTTTATAGGACAAAAAAAGGACGAATTATAGAAGAAGAATAAATTGGCCCTTTTCAAATTTAAGTTATTGTTCTTTGAAAAAGGCCTTTTAAGAAAATAAAACTACCAGCTACAAATTTATATCTAATAAAATATTATCCTTTACAACTTATTCATAATAAAAAGGGCCCAATAAAAAGAGAGAAAAGGTTGAAGGCAATCAAAATAGACACATGAATAACAATTAAGCATATAAAAAGATACTCAACATCTTTTAATCACTAGAGAAATTAAAACCAAAATGAATTTCTGCTATAATGGTTAAATTTTAAGACTGTCATTATCAAATTTTGGTGAAAATGTGTAATAATTAGCACTCCCACTCATGGGGAAATAGAAAATGGTAAGTCTACTCTACAAAAATAATTTGGTAATTTCTTTTCAAGTTAATCATACACTTAGCACATAATCCAGGAATCTGACAGCCAAATATTTACACACACACCCCACAAATTAAAACATTTGTTAACAAATGATCAGGCAACTGTATTCACAATAGCTCCAAACTGAAAACAGCCTGGTGTTCATAAGTGGTTAATGACCAAGAAAACTGGAATAAAAAATAAATGACAATTGATTTTTTTAAAATGACTATGGATTGATACAAGCAAAAACATGGGTGAATCTCAAAACACAGTATCTGAGTAAGTAAAATCAGACAGGAGAGATGGCAAAATACATTATTCTATTATATGAAATTTCAGAAAAGACAACGAAATAGCGTTAAACAGATCAGCACTTGTTAGGGCGTGGCTGCAAAGGGGCATGGAGAAATTTGGGGGGTTGATAAAAAATGTTCTGTATCTTTATTTTGAAGACATTTACATAACTTACTCCATTTGTCAAGAATCATCAGATTTTACAATGAAAGTTGGTGAATTTTACTGAATTGCACCTCAATGAAGGAGCCTTGGTGGCCCAGGGGGAAAGCACTTGGCTGCTAACCGGAAGGTCAGCAGTTCGAAGCCACCAAGCACTCCACAGGGGACAAGTAGGGATGTTTCCATGAACCTTGGGAGCCCTTTGGAGCAGTTCTCCTTTGTCCGAAGGGTCGCTGTGAGTCGGTACTGACTTGACAGCAATGGGTTTGGTTTGGTTGGGTAGGGTTGTGGATACTTCAGTGTCAATTATTGGGGAGGGGGGGTATTATTAGGGACATCGCTTTGAGGTTTTTCAATAAATTGGTAATTACAAATAATAATGTTGAGTCTATATGGATTCTATAAATAACTATTTAGAACTATGTATTTTATAAAAAATCTTTACTTAGAACTTTATAATATTCTTAATATGCCACTTTAAGTTTTTCTCCCCCTACTTAGTCCTTAGGTATCTATAGGAACACAGACACATTAGACACATGTAGTGGCATAATTGACTTTTCCCTGGATCACTAAAGATTTCTAAATAATCTCCTGAAATATTACATTCTGTTTTGAATATCAAGTCCGAGGGCACCTTTAACAACTCTATGTACATATTAACAGTTCCCCCAGGAACTTCATTTTGCAGGGGAGGGGGCAGAGAAACCATAGGGATTTATATAAATTATTTATCAAAAAAAGAGGATACCTTTTGGCTATTGCCAAATTTTATAAAACAATCCAATGCAAGTACAGATTACAAAGTTATTCTGTTACTTCTTGGCTGAACTCGATCCTTCCCCGATCCCAGACTCTGAAATACTAATTAGGGCCACAAAATAGACTGCACTAAAGAAACATCAATTCCAGGAATCAATAGATATTAACCACTAATACCTGGAGAAAGGATGCACTGCATGTTCTTCCATATCATGTACTGCATAGGACCTTTGTATTGGCCTAGGTTCAGCTTTCTGGTGATAAGCTCTCTGGGTGCCAGGACCCTCATTCCTTGCACCAAGCTGCAGGAGACATAAATCATTGATTACCAGACCTCTCCAAGGACTGAAGGGATGGTATTATGAATACCACAGGGAAACACTTACCTATCTAAGAAATCTGTGATGTCCTAGTAGAGGGAAGGGGAAATAGAGAAGTCAGATGATTGTTCAGCAGTTCCAGAAACCCCTTTGGTCATATTGGCTACTACCATAATTTGATCAATACTGCGCTCTTGGCTAGATGGACCCATCCCATCTCCAACTCCTCTTATCATCCATGAACACCGAGACTCCCCAATCTAGCTCAGGACAAACCAGCCTCACCTCTAATCTAATTTTCTAAAGTTCCCTTTTACAGCAAATGAGAGAGACATCAACAGGACAATTATTAAGGCTAAACTGAATTTTGCCAAATAGTCCCAGAAGAAAAGCACAGTAAATAGTTCACCCCTAAGGCCAGTTTCCCTCACTCTGGCTAACTAAGAGCTTTAGAGGGGATGTTTCAGGTGGCCAAGGTTGCCCATCAGCCTCTTAAACAGATCAATATGTGATTGCTGAGGGCCAATCGAAGATACAACTATGGTTGCAATATTCTCATTTTTAAGAAATAAAGCTTCCGTTCTCCTTCTGAAAAAAAAATTTAATAATATATCCAGGCAATCCCAGACTTACAAGAGCATTCTACTACTATCATTGCATCGTAAGTTCGTTCTGATATAAGTCAAGTATCTCGATTTTGTTTTCATTATTATTGATTTTTATGAACAGGGTCTTTATAAACTCTCTCTTAATTTTCCATGTGGGGTTGGTAGGAGAATCATAGCATCAGCAAATTACATGCTGCAGCATTATATGTAGTACATATTACTAACATCAACTGTGCCCCCAAAGCCCACAGTGTTCGGCTTATCATAAGCTCAGAAACCCTGTAAACTGGGGACTGCCTGTACTACGAATACATTTTACTGCCTTCTTTGGGAGGGTGAAAGTAAAGCCTACTACTGAGCACATGGCAAAGCAAGCCTCCTGCTTCCCGCTTAGAGAAGAGTAAAACCACAGTAGCAGTGGTTTCCCCCCCTAGCTTGGGCGTGGCATTGAAAAGCCAGCTCTGGCCCCCTCCAACCCCCTTGGTCTTGATACAACTGCCTGCCTCCTTTGGGTGCCAAAGCTGTGTATCTTTACGGGAGCGGACAGCCCCCTCTTTGCCCTGGGGAGTGCCTGGCAACCCAATGGGTAGCCCAACTATGCCACCCCGGCACCTTCTCCCCACTTGAGAATACCCATAACTCAGGCTGCTTTGGAGCCTCACTTTGAGAAAGTCGAAGGAGTTCTGCTGTTCCATCCGGGACTGGATGCTCCCCAGCATCTCCTTGTTCAGCAGACACTGCTCTTGAAGTTGGTTCAGGTTCAGCTCCATCTCCTCATTGAGGCCTCTCCCGTCTTCCTGCAGCTCATTTAAAATATCCTTTTCCTTGCTGTGCAGGAACTGATGCAGCTTTAGAAACTCCAAAGAGATGTGTTGTTGCAGATGAAGCTTGTTTTCCTGGAAACCTCCAGGGAGCATCACCATGGTAATTACTGAGATTAGCACTTGGGAATGGGGGCTCATACCAACATTCACACAATTTAGAAAATATCACAAGGGGGATATCCATAGAAATGACTCTTAGGTACCAACAGTTAACTATTTTAGAGGGACTTCCTCCTCGTTTCTTGACATACTTTAACAGCTCAGGATGAAATATTCAACAGCGGTCGTCACTAAAGACATTCAGGCAGCCAGAAAATGCATGCAGGTAGTCCACAGGCAAGAGATACAGATTAAAACATCATCTCACTCCAGCACGAATCACAATGATTTAATATTTAAAAATTAAAACCCAATAAAACCAACAAAGGCTGGTAAAGCTGTGGGGAAAATGGGGCTCTCAGACTCTGCTGGAAGAATTGTAAAATGGTACCAACACTGGAAAAATGGTCTGGTGCTTATTTAAAAAGTAAGCAATGGAGCTATCACCTCAAAAACCCAAACTCACTTCCACTGAGTCAATCCTAACTCATAGCACCCTTATAGGGCAGGGTAGAAGTGCCCCGATGTGTTTCTGAGACGACATCTTCACAGGAGTAGAAAGTCTCCTGTGGAGTGACTGGTGGTTTTGAACTGCTGACCTTGCAGTTAGCAGCCCAGTGCATAAACACTATCCCACCAGGCTCCTGGAAATACCACATGGCCCAGCAATTCCACTACTAGCTAAATATCCTAGAGAACTAAGAGTCATGCTATCAATAAATAAACGCATACCTATTCCAGTGAAATGCTATTTACAACGACAAAAAGATGGAAACAACCCAGGTGTCCATGAAGGAATGGGTAAACTATGACACATGACAACCAAAGAAAGACTACAAGATTAAAGAATAATGAGGAATCCACAAAACATTTCCACCATATGGAGGAACCTGGAGGACATTATGCTGAGTGGACTAAGTCAACCACAAAAAGACTAATATTGTGGTTCCACTATAGAAAGGCTAGAAAAAGGGTGACACACAGAAAGTAATATTCTTTGACGATTGCCAGGGGTGAAAGAGGAAGGAGGGGAAAAATCACTAACTCTCACTCACTGCCATTGAGTCTATATATATCTACTATATATCTGTATATATTTTCAGCACCTCCAAATACATAGGTAGAAATATCGTCTGCCACACCAATACATGCTGATGGATGTACTCGCATACACCATCCCGCATCTGTTCAGCTTGCATATCTACTTATGCCTCCTCTTATTGTTGTTTGCATTGCAGGATTGTGTGTGTATAGTATTTACCGTTGCTTCCTTTCACTCTTGCAAACCTCCCAGCGTCTTCCTTGTCTAGGTCATGTGCTGACTTTACCCTTATTGTGTATTGCCTTTCACTCTACCCACCTGTGTACCACAAGGTCAGCTGTTCGAATTCACCAGCTGCTCCAAGGGAGAAAGATGAGGCTGCCTAGTGCTATAAAGATTTAAAGTTCAGGAAAACTAAAGGGACCATTTACCCTGTCCTTTCTGGGCCCTGTGAGTTGGAATCAACTCAAAGAATATTACTTTCTGTGTGTCACCCTTTTTCTAGCCTTTCTATAGTGGAACCACAATATTTGTCTTTTTGTGGTTGACTTAGTCCACTCAGCATAATGTCCTCCAGGTTCCTCCATATGGTGGAAATGTTTTGTGGATTCATCATTATTCTTTAATCTTGAGTCTTTCTTTGGTTGTCATGTGTCATAGTTTGTTTATCCATTCCTTCAGGGACACCTGGGTTGTTTCCATCTTTCTGTCACTGTAAACAGTGTTGGTCCCATGGCTTTCTCCTCCAGCTTGTTTATCCCGCCTATTTTACTGCTTCTATCTTCATTCCCCCTCTTATATAACTTGATCCCATGATCCATCATTATAATTGCACTCTTAAAATAGTTTGAAATCCCCCCTCCTGTCGCTCACACTTTCGGGGTTCACTCCTACTCTCAACATCACTACTTCCCGTCTTATTTGTTGGGACCACCTACTCCCAGAAGCTCTAAATATTACTTGATATTCTGTCCCGGGCTCTTTTCCTTTGCCATATTAAACTCTCTTTCTTATCAATAGCTTGTCTTTATCTTCAACTGATACCAACTTCTGAGCTCTGGATTCTTGTAGATGACTGCCCATTTGGCATCTGCTCACCCCTCTCATCTAACCAACCAGTGTGTCCGGGGAGTTTCTCTCAGAAGCAGATGTAGAGTGGTTTGTTTCTCTGTATACTCATTGCCTCTTTAGTCCAGGCTACCAGGATCATTCGCTGGGATGACTACAGTATCTTCCTAGCCATTGCCTTTATCATTCCCCAGCTCAATTCATTCTCCACAGAGCTGGGAGTGTGTTGTTGTGTTTTCAAAATGAGAAGAAACCATGTCCTGCTTGAATGGCTTTGCATTATTCACAGAGGGAATTTTAAATCCCCTCCTGCACAATCGGGTCCGTGGCTGCCTCTCCAATTTCATCTCACTCATGGTGCTGGATCCCGTTTTACTGGCTTTCTGTCTGTTTCATGCAACAGCTAGCTTCCTTCCCTCGATTTCCCTAGAATAGTCTGCTCCAGGTCACCTCCTCCCTGGTCCCTTTACTAAGTTATTTATCCTGCAAGTCTCAATTTTTAGAAGGTGACTTCTTCGAGGACAAGCCTCACATCCAGTCTAGATTAGGTTCATCATTAGAGTCCTACATGCTTTCATAGCACAAATACCTTTGTGGTATTTTTCACGGTTGTTACTTTATGGTTAGCCATGGGATTATTTAATATTCCTCCCATCCCCAGACCTAATACAAGGTGGCTTCAAAAAGTTCATGGAAATATGAAGAGATCAGGGAACTGTTTGACATCCCCTTATAGACTGTTTGATCCCCTCAATAAATATTTGATGAATGAGTAATGCTGACTAATAGTGGAACTAGGAACTCTTAAAATGGCTGCAAGATGGTTTGGAGACCTCATTTCTTTCACCTGTCCTTCTTTCCTTCATTCTACCTGTTTTTCTTCCAGGTGCCCAACGTCAGAGAAGTCTCCTTCATAGAATAATGAATGAAGAAATAGAACTACCAATTTAGACTTCCCAACTAGAAACCAAATAACAAATCCCCACCCGTTAATGTTGTCCTAGAGTTCCTACCTAATTTACAACAACATTGTTATTTTTTAAATCCAAACCTATAATTCCATGGTATATGTTTGTCTCTGTGAACTGCAGACAAGAAAGGTCTATTTTGAGGCTACAAAAAAATAAACTAGAAAGTTACACAATAGCCTTATTCACTTTGAGGGCAGCTACAGAAAAATCAGATCAAATGGGAAAAGCCAGCAACTTAAGAGATTTGGGTCCGAATACTGGTGATCCACCTAATGGAAAGTTCTATATTTATTTGGACAGAGCGAACTTTAGTGGAGTTTTCTTAAACGTTCTTTATATTAGCATAGATTAAAAAAAAAAAGAATCACCAGACAGATCACAATCCCACAACAATCACCTTGCAGTTGAGACAGAGAACCAGAGCATTGAGGTGACAAGCTGTTCTCTCTGTCTACACAATTACTGGGAACCTGCTCCACTTCCACATGCCTTCCCACCCTACACCGGCAGTTTGCTAATTCTGTCACTCAGGTACGTGAGGAACTATATTTAGTAAAGAATGATAAAATATGCATATCCACCCCACCTAATTAAGGTTACAAAGAGCTGTACTCCGTTCTAGTTCGCAGCCCCTTCACCTGCTCCTCACCTTGCAATCAGCAATCGCAGCCTTCTGCATGTTCTTGAGGGCCTGGAGTTCCTTGTGGGTTGCCTCCAGCTGGTTTTGGTGGGTGCTAAGCTCCTCCTGGAAATACCGAGTAGAATTAATTCACCAGCCAGGTGGAAGAAGAAAGGTCCTGAGAATGCTCCGAGGAGAATATCCTCTCCCAAAGCCCCATGCACCAGGGAAAATGCAGAACTTCTGCATGAAGAGCCTTTCCCTTTCTCTGGATCCGAATTCCTGTATCTTTTGAGAATTAGGATAATGACCAGTAGTGGAAAACTTCGTTTTGCCCTCTTGTGACTCCCTACAGGAGTTTGAATGGCATGACACGCGGCTTTCCACTCTAGTTACATGGTCCTCACTAGCTATGCTCTTATAATATGCCCTGCACTTGGGGCACGCCTTTCTTCTTTCGGCCCCAAACAAATCCATCCTCTCCGCAGGGGAAGGAGGAGGCTTTCTACTCCGGTACAGTTTCAGTCTTGGAAACCCACAGGGACAGTGCTATTCTGTCCTATAGGGTCACTAGGATTAAGAATCAACTTGGTGGCAGTGAATTTGAGTTTTGCCAAAAATCTTCTCGGAAGTTCTAAACACTTAAGAATGACAGATGCCATCATATTTTGCTCTCCGTAGTATACTAGTTTATATTGGCTATATGGCTGTTCATTGTAAACTTGACTCTATTTTGAGAGCAAGAGCAATATCTTATACATCCACGTGAGGGAGTTTCAAAAATCTCGCCTAAAAATGGAATTAGGAAACAACAGCATTTTCCCACAAACTTTTTGAAGTCTCCGTGTATTTTCCACGGTGCCTAGCGAGCGTGTTCATGGCAGGATTGGGTAAATGTTTGATTGATGCAGGGAGTAGGCCCGAGTTCCTGCACTGTCTCTTTCCCATACGCTGCAACTGGAGAGAAAGACCGGTGCAAGATGTGCTTTCTGAACACTGGGAGCTTTCTAATTATTTGAATAAAGGGGTGGGGTGGACGAGCGAAGAAGCCATCCAACAGATTTCCCCCAGCTTTCTCAAGGATTCCTCAGGGCCCAGGGCTCACGCACCATGAAGTACCGGACAGCATCAGAGATCTGCATGAACTCCTTCGATTTCCCCACAGACAACCGAGAATCCTTGCACTGAAAGCAGATTAGCTTCCCATCTAGCTTACTGAACAGCTTCAGGGTCTCGCCGTGTTCTGGGCACTGTGGATTGCCTTTGATTGAGGGGAGCTTCCTAATCTTCTCTACCAGCTTCTCCACTACAATGTTGAATGTACAGTTGTTATAAAGACATAGCATCTTGCACTCGGGGCAGAAGGTTTCCTTTATGTGCTTCTTCCAAAAGTCTTGGATACAGATCTGGCAGAAGTTGTGGCCACAGGTTAGCATCAGCGGATCACGAAACCAGTCATGGCACAGTGGACAGTGTAGCTCCTGCGTGATGTCTTGGATCTGTGCCTTAGAGTATATCTGGGTTATTGTGTCATTCAGCTCAACGAGGTTGCTGGCATCCATGGAGGAGGAGTAGGAAGATACCTTTGGAAAAGAACAGCTAAAATCAGTTCCCATTGCTTGCTGCGTATCTCAGCATTCCAGGATCATGGGCTTGGTTTCTAAAGAAGCTGACAATCGGAGCAGCCACAGTAAAAAGCATCAATCCTAGCATCATAGTTAATTAGTACTCACAATGCTATTTAAGTTTCACTAGAAAGCCAAGGCAGGGAGAGAATGAGTACTCAAAGGAATATATTTTTTCCCTCCCGCTCCCTACTTTCTCCAGGATCATTTGCAAAGTTGTTTGTTTGTTTGTTTTAAATTTATCCCTTTTTTATTTTCTAGAGATCATGTACTCAATATTAAAAAATCAACATGGTTGGGTTTCAAAGTTTCTCAAAGTCATTGTCATAAACGTATCATGAACCATCCATTTCTCCTAGCATGCACCACTTATTTTGACCCTCCCTTGGATGCTAAAGCTAATAGGCAAGGGTCCAGGGACTCAAAATGGGGCTGAGAGGTAGGGACTCGAAATAGATGTCTGATCTCAGTCTGGGTCTGATCTCTGATGTCTGATCTCAGTCTGGGTCTTGTTTGTCAGAACCTAAAGTAGTCATATTTTTTCTTTGAATGCCCTTCCATGACCTTTCCATCATTTTTTCCAGGTGTTTTTTGTTTTGTTTTGGTTTTTCCTGAAACTTGTATCAAAAAATGTCAGAATTTCTCACTCTAGTCTCTTTTATTCTCTCTCATGTGCTCTAACTTCATAAATACCCATGCTTTCCTCTGGAAATTTTCTCCCATCCCTGTTTTATAGGTGGTATTTGTTTATTTTTTTAAAACATATTTGAATGATATGAGTTCTTCCCAAATAAGCTATTTGCAAGACCAGCTTTGTATAACCTCTGCTAGAAAATAGGGATTACTTTGATCATAATAGCTAGTATTGGCAGAACATTTACTTTGTAAAATACCATGTAGTAATAGATGCTAACCAAAAGGTCAGCAGTTCAAACCCACAAGCCATTCCATGGTGGGGAAAGAAGTGGCAGTCGACGTAAAAAAAAAATATGGTGCTTGAAACACATAAGTATCATCTAATTCTTCAATATTTCCTCCCCCTATTATTATGGTTTAAGTTTTATCTCATTAATCCTGTTAGACCTGCATATGTTCATTTGTATAATTAAGATTGTTCAATGTATGAAATCCAAGATAGATAAACTCTTCAGAAATAGCAACAGGAGTAATGATTCCCTGAGGTTACAGAAAGAGGGGGGAAGGCAGGGGGAAGGGGGAACTGATAGCCATGATGACTATATAACCCCCCTCAAGGGGAACAAATAACAGAATGGCAGGTGAGTGGATACATTGGATGGTGCAAGATACGCAATGAAAAAAAAGGAATAACAACAATAATAATATTTAATATAATAACAATGGTTCTTGGGGGTTGGGTGGTGTGGGGTACCAGCCCCCACAGTCAAAAAGGTCCAAGGGGTGGTTGTGTAATTGAGAGGTAAAATTAAAGAGACATCAGACAAGATAAAACATGCAAGTGCTCACCTTCAGGACCACCATGACTTCAGGAGCCAGATACGTGCAGAGAGAACAAATATATTTCCAACCAAGGCTTATATACACTCTAGGAGCATGCAAGCCTCCCTAATTACAGGTAAACACATACCTAACAAAGTGGGCTGTACCCTAACCCTGAAGGCCCCTGAGTACATTGGAGGAGTAACCTAACACCAGTGCTGGGGGTAGGTAAGGGGAAGTGGCTGTTTTAGGAGCTTAGAGAGCAATGGCATATGTCTGCCTCTATAGTTAAAGCTGCCAGCTAGATGGCAATCAGCCATCCTGTTATGGAAGGATAGCGTGGGGAACAATATTAATTATGAGAATGTGATTCAGATTCACTTCCAACTCACAAGGGTGAAGGCCTCCTTCATCCCCAGAAACCCAGCCTGCCAGACTTCTAAATAGATGAGATTAAAGGATTCATCTGGATACACTCTCTTCTGGTACTCTCCTTCCCACAGGGTGGGGGAGGGCAGGGATAAAGGGGAGCTGATATCAAAGAGTGCAGGAAGAAAGGACATGTTTTGAAAGTGATGTGGCAACAACTATACAATCACACTTGATCTAAGTGAACGATGGATGGTTATAAGAGCTGTAGGAGCTCCCAATTAAAATGGGGGCGGGGGAGAGTGGTGAAAACCTTGTGTGCTGCTCTGCCCTCCAGAGTCACCCTGAGCCTGCACTGACTCAACAGCAGTGTGTGGTTTGGTTTGGGTGTGTGAGTGGAGACAGGGTCATCATATTTGAAGCTGTATTTTTCTTAATAATTATATTTTATTTTATCCTTGGTGAATAGGTACACAGCAAAAGCCAGTACCATTCAACAGTTTCTAGAAATAATGGTCCTAATGAGCATGATGTCCGTTACATCCTTCACTGGGTCAACCTTCCTGCTATGTCTATTTTGGTTGGTTTATTCTCATTCACTTAAACTCCCTGCCCCCACCCCACAACCTTCTAGTCCTGCTTTTTATTTCCTCTCTCTCTTTTTTCAGTTTTAGTGACACATAATCCACATACTTTACCATTCAATAGTTTATTGCATCAAGAAGAATTACACAATCATTACCCACATCAATTTTAGAACATTTTCTTTACTCTTTTTTCCTGGCTAAATTGCTTTTAAAATGAACTGGAGGCTATATTCTTTATGAAGGAGTCAATGCGTGAGATCTTACAGACCAGACTCCCCTTATCCCCACAGTCAGCACTGCTAGGATTGCTTACAATGCCATAAGTCCCCTTCTCGCTCTCTCTCGCACTCTCTCACTAACAGTGCTTCCACAAATATGGCTTATATCACATTTCCTATATCTCTAACCTTTGTGGCCAATGAGCGTGGGACAGCTCTTGCATCTGCCTGTTTGCCTATTGTTTATACAAAAACTTGTCTTGACCCTAAAGATAGGGCATTTTCTTTGGAAAACTGAGTCACCTGAGCTGTGTGTCAGCTCTCCCACTGTAGGAGTCCTTCCTCACATCCCTGTTTAGACTTACAGCCCTTCCTCAAAGTCTGTAACCTCAGTTTGCTTACAGATGTCTCAAATTTTACTGAAAGTACATTTTGTTTGTGTTTTACCCTTCTTGTAGTTCTGCGTTAAAGAATGAGTTTCTGAGAACATTTTAAAAAATCAGGTTTTGCTCCACTATTTCAACTATTGTTTACACTTTATCCACCATTTCTCTGTATTTTGAGAGGGTGGCCAAGTGTGTATGTTTTTATGTATGTGGAGGAGATGGAGATATTTCCATATGCCTTCAGATGGCATTACTAAATTGACCAGATTGGGGAACAGACATTCAGAGTAATCAGTATGGATGCCTCTCCCAATACATCACAAGTTGAACTTCTCTCTCATACACAGGAATGGAGATTCAACGTCAATATTATGCTGTGTTGTAAGAAATTCTACATGCTAATACTAACACATCTGAAATTTTAGACTAAGACTTATCGCCAACACTTAGTAGGCATGTTAATCAGCCTGTGCTAAAGGACAAGTTTACACACACCTTGTGGCATCCCTATTATTGCTAGTGAGTCCGCCTCAACTCAGGCCAGTCACACGCTCAACAGGATCAAACCATAAGGCTCTCACTCGTTGATTTTCAGAAGTAGATTGCCAGATCTCTCTTTTCTACTCTGTTTTAGTCCAGAAGCTCCACTGAAACTTGTCCAGGACTTTAGAAACAAGCAAGCCTCCACTGACAGACAGATGGCAAGAGTACTTGAGCTGCGATGGCCAAGAATTGAACCCAAGTCTCTGGTGTGGAGCCCGAGAATTATACCACGAAACCGCCCGTACCCACTCCCCGAGACTGCAACTGATTAAGATATAAATGAGCACCGGATCCATTTCATAGAGTATCCAAAAGCCCAAGATATGTTCTAAAGCAAAAAGATGATCCGGACAAATCCGAGCCTCTTCTGACTTTGAATCTGGAAACAAGGAGAGAATTGGAAAATTGATCAAAAAGAAAAAAGCCAAACTCCCTGCCATGGAGTCAATGCCAACTCCTAGTGACCCTGTAGACGAGGAGAGAAAGCCCCATCTTTCTGCCGAGAAAATTGGCAGTAGGAGCAAAGTGTAAAGATTGTCATAAGGTACAATTTGATATGAAGAGTCATGGCAAGGAAAGTTATTAGGAAACAAAACCTGGGAGCTGAAAGTTAAGCCAAAGGCATAAGAAATAGCGACTTGGGGCAGAGAGAGTCATTTGGTTGCTAAAGACCCAAATTGTACAACTGTTGAATGTTTATTCTCAGTCAGTGAGCTTACCTGCTTGTTTAAGGTCACTTATTTAAATTTCTACTTCCAACAGATTTTAACTCCTTGGTATCAACCCTGTATTCTAGTATTCTATTGAAACGGTATTATTAAAGTTCACCGTTGAGTTGGCTAAGCATTATGACTTATGCTCTATCTTCATATGCTTTGATTCGGTATTTCCTTCAGTCCTTGAAATACTACATTGCTCTAGTTCTGCCTTTTACTACTTCTTTAGCTACAACTGGCTCCTCTCTCTCTCTGTTATGGTCCATTCACAACATTGAGGCAACCAACAGTTGCTATTAATAAAGAGCTATTTAACTCTCCGAAATGTAATAGTCATCTGGTCTGTCTTTAACGTTCTTCTAGCTATATATTTTCTTCTTACCAAGTAAGCCATTCATTCCCATGACTTTACATGCAACCGCTCTAGAGGTGACTCCCAAATTTCTATCTCTGAGCTCTCATATGGGACCTCAAAAATCAGTATGACTGAAACAGAACTCATCTTTCTCCTTAAATCAGATTCTTCCCTTGACTTCCCTATTTCCGTTTATTAGACCAACAAGCTAAAGAATTGAAAGTCTAGCTAATAATAGAAATAATTTAATTAACCCTCCTCTGCCTCCAATATTTTCTTTTTTATTTATTTTACTTTTTATTTACTTTTACTTACTGACCATTTAT